GGGGGGTGGCAGGGTGGGGGGGTGCGAGGAGGGTGACCTCTTGCCTCTGTCCCCAGGAGTATGCGGGGGAGGGGCTGAGGACCCTGGTGCTGGCCTACAAGGACCTGGATGAAGACTACTACGAACAGTGGGCTGAGAGACGGCTGCAGGCCAGCCTGGCCCAGGACAGCCGGGAGGACCGGCTGGCCAGCATCTACGAGGAGGTTGAGAGCAACATGATGGTACGGCTGCAGGCGGAGCCGAGGCGGGCAAGGAGGGCTCCCTCCACCCCTCCCACCCCCGGCGCTCTTGCCTGGGCCTCATGGGGTCTGTTTCAGCTGCTGGGAGCAACGGCCATTGAGGACAAGCTTCAGCAAGGGGTCCCAGAAACCATTGCCCTCCTGACGCTGGCCAACATCAAGATTTGGGTGCTTACTGGAGACAAGCAAGGTGAGAGCCCCGCAGGACCAGGTGCCCGGCACCTGGCTGGCCGCTGGCATGGAGCCCAGCAGAGCGAGCTGACCCTGGGTGCCCACGTTCTCTCTTGGTAGAGACGGCTGTGAACATTGGCTATTCCTGCAAAATGCTGACGGACGACATGACGGAGGTGTTCATCGTCACTGGTCACACCGTCCTGGAAGTTCGGGAGGAGCTCAGGTGGGCGGAGGCCCCGGGGTGGATCCCTGCTCCCCTCAGAGGGCCGCCCCTGTCCTGAAACGCTTGGCCCTCCGTCTCCCCGGCGCAGGAAAGCCCGGGAAAAGATGATGGCCTCATCCCGCAGCGTCAGCAACGGCTTCGCCTGCCAGGAGAAGCGTCCTTCCGCCAGGCTCACCTGCGTCCTGGAAGCCGTTGCTGGGGAGTTCGCCCTGGTCATCAACGGCCACAGCCTGGTACGTGGTGCTGCCCTGGCTGCGGTGCCCTGTCTTTCCCTTTCCCCGTGGCTCGCGTGGCCCCTCCTGGCCCTCAGGTGTGGCAAGAGCCGGGCTCGAGGCCTTCCCTAATGGCGCCTGTGGCTCTCTGGGTGGCAGGCCCATGCGCTGGAGGCGGACATGGAGCTGGAATTCCTGGAGACTGCGTGTGCCTGCAAGGCCGTCATCTGCTGCCGGGTCACCCCCTTGCAGAAGGCGCAGGTGGTGGAGTTGGTCAAGAAGCATAAGAACGCCGTGACTCTGGCCATCGGGGACGGAGCCAATGACGTCAGCATGATCAAAAGTGAGTGGGCCGGCGGGGTCCCGTGGCGCGGTGGGACTCGGGAGCGCGTGGCCCGTTCAGCCTCTCTTCCTCTCTCGTGTCTCCAGCCGCCCACATCGGTGTGGGCATCAGCGGGCAGGAAGGGATCCAGGCGGTCCTGGCCTCAGACTACTCCTTCTCCCAGTTCAAGTTCTTGCAGCGCCTCCTGCTGGTGCACGGGCGCTGGTCCTACCTACGCATGTGCAAGTTCCTCTGCTACTTCTTCTACAAGAACTTTGCTTTCACCATGGTCCACTTCTGGTTCGGCTTCTTCTGCGGCTTCTCGGCCCAGGTGAGCGTGCCCAGTCTGCCGGAAGGGAAGGGGCTCCAGGGCAGAGATTGCCTTTGTCCCAGACATCGCTGAATCCCCAGGACCTGGCTACGCCGTGCTTTGAAACAACGCTGTGGGAGGAGTGAGAGGCCGCTCCAGAGGGCTCTTCGAGACTCCCTGTGTGTCACAGCGCTTGTCCTCCCCTGCCTGATGGGTGGTGGAGGCAGGCTGCGCACACACCCCCTTCCCGCCCACGGCTCACGCCCCTTGCTTCCTGTGCTCCCTGCAGACGGTGTACGACCAGTATTTCATCACCCTGTACAACATCGTGTACACCTCCCTCCCGGTCCTGGCCATGGGGGTCTTTGATCAGGTAGCGGGGAGTGTAGGGATCCGGTGGGGCAGCCTGGGGGCGTTGCTGTGAGGGACTCACAGTGAGGGGGGTGGGTGACACTTCCCATCCACTGCCTGGGACACGGTGTTTTCTGCCAGAGAGGGTTTGTTTGGAAGCAGCTGGCTGGAGGTTAAACATTTTGGACAGGAGGAGGCAGGGGTAGGGTCTGCCCTGGGCCGGCAGCCCTCAGAGAGTCCCATGCCCCTCTGGCTGTCTTCCGCCTCGCCCCAGGACGTGCCCGAGCAGAGGAGCCTGGAGTACCCAAAGCTGTACGAGCCGGGCCAGCTCAACCTCCTCTTCAACAAGCGGGAGTTCTTCATCTGCATCGCCCAGGGCATCTACACCTCTGTGCTCTTGTTCTTCATCCCCTACGGCGTGTTTGCCGAGGCCACCCGGGACGACGGCTCCCAGCTGGCCGACTACCAGTCCTTCGCAGTCACCGTGGCCACGTCGCTGGTCATCGTGGTCAGCATGCAGGTAGGAGCCTGCCCCTGGGCCAGCTGTGACTCTCTCCACCTCACGACCTGGACGGTTTGGTTGGTGGGGAGCTGGGAGTGTCCCTTCTGCCTGGGACACTGCCCTCCTGTCTGTAGATTGGGCTGGACACAGGCTACTGGACGGCCATCAACCACTTCTTCATCTGGGGCAGCCTCGCCGTCTACTTTGCCATCCTCTTCGCCATGCACAGCAAGGGGCTCTTCGACATGTTTCCAAACCAGTTCCGCTTTGTGGGTGAGTTGCCTGGCTCCATCCCACCTCAGGGAGGCACCATCACAGGCCCCTGGGTCCGAAAGGCTGGGCAGCTTCTTTCAGCACTCCCCAGGAGCCGAAACCCCTCGAGGTGCTATGGGGACAGCAGGGCCGTAGGAGGCCAGGGCTCCAAGAGAGACTGACTGGGGTAGGGTGCTGTTCCAGCTAGCCAGGGAGAGCCCCATCGGGGAGGCGCGGGACCCCAAGTGCGAGAGCTAGAGGCGTGAAAGGGCCTCTGGTTTTAGGGGGTGGCGTGTACCCCCGCGGGGGGTGGGGGGCTTGTAAGCGCCACCTTCGGAGCTGGTGCTGGACTGTCAGGTTCGGGTGTGACAGTAGCCAAATGGTTTGGTTTCTTCTTGAAGCAGGGGTGGGGGGAAGGGTGCGGGGAATGGCACTCAAGGATGACTTCAGAGAGATGTGTCTGCAAGCGTGGCCAGTGAGGAAGCCACTAAAACAAGCACGTGCAGGCTGGCACCCGGGAGACTATGGGGGTGGGGAGGGGGCTAGCAGGAGGCATTCACAGGTCTCGCTGCTGCTCGACTTGACCCTTCACTCACTGGGCAGCCCTGTGCGTGTGACCACAGCTGCTCCAGCCGCTGGGGGCTCAGTGGTCGGTCCGTGCTGCATTGCCTGTCAGGTGACGTTGTTTACATCACTAGTACAGAAACAGGACACTCTGGGAAGGACAGTGCACAGGGTGGGAATGCCCACAGTGAGCTAGGTGGACCTCGGGAGAAAGGGACATTTTCAAGGGTGGGGGGGTCTGAGTGGAGGGAAGGGAGGAGCAGGTCCTCAGGGCAAGAACATCCGGGAAAGGGAAGCAGCCACCAAGGCCTGACTGGGGGCCTCCTGGAAGAGGTTCCCACAGCGAGGGTCTGGGGCCAAGACTAGTTGCTGGGGGAGGTGGGGTTTTTTTTTTGGGGGGGGGGGCCCAAGCATCAGGGAAGACCACTTAGGTCCTTACAGGTCAGAAGCCCGGGTAACAGGTCAAAGCCACCGGTCGCTTCTCGGGAGAAAAATGAGGCTTTCTAATCCAGTAAAGGCTTGTAGTCTTGGAAACCCACTGGGACAGTTCAACTCTGCCTGACAGGGTTGATGTCGGTTAGAATTGCTTGTAGTGAGTTTCATTTTTTTTGTATCTTAGGTCAGATTAAGAGGTGTGTGTGTGTGTGTGTGTGTGTGTGTGTGTGTGTGTGTGTGTGTGTAAGACACCCATAACGGAATGTTCTGTCTCAGCTTCTGTGTGAACAATTAATTCATTGACAGTGCTGAATTGAATCTCAGTATTCTGAGCAGGAGTGAGGTCACACCACTTGAGGGTTTCAAAGCGCAGCTCTTACAGTTGATGGCTCTGTGAGTGGGGGGTAAGCATGAAGTGGAGCTGGCAGGAGGTGAGGCAGCGCTCTAGGAGTGGGATGGTGGGCTGAAACAGAGGCAGAGCTTGGGAGTCCAGAGAGATTTTAAACTGGAGCCAATCAGAGCTGCTGACAGATCGGCTGTGGGATCCCAGAGACGTGGTGCTGGGAGCATTTCCTGAGCTGGAGGAGATGCGGGGGTGGGCTGTGGGGGTCTGCAGACCAGAGTCAGGCCGAGGACCCGGTGGGATGCCTGCTAGATGTGTGGCGATGGAGCCAACCCCAAAGGGCCGTTGGAGAAGAGGGTGGGGGCTGGGGCAGAGCCTGGAGATGCTGCTGAGCTGTGGGAGGTGTGGTGGAGCGGGGAGCCCCGGGTGGGTTGGCTCTTTTCTGGTGGAAGCAGTAGAATGCCTGAAATAGAAAATAGGAAAGTGGGGTTGGGGTGGGGGCTGTGCCTCTCCAGGCCCCTGACCCTCCCTGCCCCCAGGTAACGCCCACAACACCCTGGCCCAGCCCACAGTGTGGCTCACCATTGCGCTCACCACGGCCGTCTGCATCCTGCCTGTGCTTGCCTTTCGCTTCCTCAAGCTGAACCTGAAGCCCGATCTCTCAGACACGGTGAGAAGCCGCAGGCAGAGATGGCACGGCAGGCAGGCCTCGGGGCCACACCCACTTGGGACAGCAGGGCTGGTGGCTGTCACAGACGGCCTGACAGCCCCCCTCCTGCCCGCCCCCCACAGGTCCGCTACACCCAGCTGGTGAGGAAGAAACAGAAGGCCCAGCACCGCTGCATGCGGCGAGTGAGCCGCACGGGCTCGCGCCGCTCCGGCTACGCCTTCTCCCATCAGGAGGGCTTCGGCGAGCTCATCATGTCCGGCAAAAACATGCGGCTCAGCTCGCTGGCCCTCTCCAGCTTCACCACCCGCTCCAGCTCCAGCTGGATCGAGAGCCTGCGCCGCAAGAAGAGCGACAGTGCTGGCAGCCCCGGTGGCGGCAGCACCAGCACCAGCGGGGTCGAGAAGCCCCTCAAGGGGTGAAGGCAGGGAGGGGGTGCTGGCCAGCCACCCCCGAGGGAGAGAACTGCCCCCCAGAATGGCTGGTCCTTATCGCCTCTGGCTGGGTGGGGGTGCACCCCTCCCTCTGGTAGACTGTCCTGCTGGTCCCACCCGAGTCACAGAGGACCCCCCACCTGCGCTCCCCCCTTGTAAGGCAGAGTACTTAAGCGCAGGGTCTGAGGGCACCGGCCTCCACAGGGGACCAGGTGTGGAACCAAAAACAGAAGGAAAAACTGAGAGGCTGGGCCTGGCCCTGCCCCACAGCCTGCAGGGGGGCTCTGTCGTCTCCGTATTTTTTTACTCCCACTCCCCAGAGGGGCCCCGGGCCCTACCCCTGAATTAACCGAGAATGTATCATGCCGGGAAGCCAGAAACCTGTGGGGGGCCACTGGGCCCCTCCGTGCCGCGCGCCTCTCCTTGATCCGTGTAGCTGTCCGCGTTGTTTTCTCGTGTTGGTATTTGGTAAGCGGAGGAGGCCATTCAGGGACCCGGGTGTTGTGGTTGGTGTCTTAGCTGCCCCGGGGAAGAGGAGGAGGAGGCTGCTGCCCCACCGAGGGTGTGGGACAGACAGGCTCTGAGCAGGCCAGGAGGCGCGCACCGAAGTCCTGCTGGTTTGGGACCGGAGCCTGGGTCAGTGCTCGGGGACCCTGTCCTTCTCAGTGACCGGGGTTAGGGGATTCTCTTTAGGTTAAATGAAGACTAAATGAAGAAATTTAGCAGGCGCTCTCTGATAGCCCTTTCCTGTAGCTGCGGGGGGAGGGGGGCGAAGCTCTGTCCCCACCCGGGTGGTTCCCAAGTTGTTGGTAGTGCCCTCGAGTTGGTTCTGGCCCCTGACGATCCTGTGTGCAGTGGACACGCAGCCCAGTCCCGCCCCATCCTCACCTGTCCTCCGTCTGAGCCCCTGTGTCAGTCCCCCCTAGTTGCTTCCGCATTGGCCTGGAAGAAGCCTTTCCTGTCTGCTGGAGGGCACTGGCAGGACTGGCTGCAGGACTGGCCCTGTCGAAACCTTTGTGTTGGATGCGGGGGCCCTGGGGGCCCTGGGTGGGTGGGGTGGGGTGGGGTGCTGGTGTCTGTGAGTTGAGGTGCTGATGTGCCGGGATAAGGAGGAACTAGGAGAAGGGGAAGTCTTGGCAGGGAAATCCCTTTGGGCCACGCAGTTTACAAACCCAGCGTCATGTCTGTGTTGTGTGTCTCTCAAGGTGAGAGTGATTTTTATACCAAAGAGGAAATGATTTTTTTTTCATATTTGGTTTGTCTATATTATATAAATATATATATATATATATACAGTTATATACATATTATTTTTTTGGTTCTCTCTCGTTTTTCAGGGAGGGAGGAAAGTACAAAGTTGCATTGAGCTGTAATTAAGGAACATTCTGTATAATTTATGACACATTTCTATACTTGCAAAAATTATATCATTTTATGGATATAAAGAGGAAAAAAAAAGACCTTTTTATAAAATCGCGATTTCTGAGAAGCGTGTAATTTGTCTGTTTTCTGATGTTTAACCAGGACTGGTGGTAAGAGTGAGGACAGACAGCGGCCTCTGGAGTGGTGGGGGCGGTCTGGGCCCAGGCTGCTGGCTGGGAGCCAGGCCGCCCCAGGCTTATCTCCCCAGGCTGTGTCAGCTGGAAGCTGGGCTGTGGGTGGCCCTGGGAGGCAGGTCACCGACTGGGACTTTGTGTTCAGCTGATGACTTGGATGGATGTTGGGGACCTTGAACGATTGCTTTTCCAAATTCCTCACCTAGGCCAAAGGGGCGGGCCTGGGTGGAGAAAGCACCCGGTAAATATTTGTAAGTTTACTTGTTGGGTGGTGACGGACTTGGATGCTTTCCAGGCGCCCATCTTCCCGGCAGCTTTTCACAGAAGTGTCCCAGACGAAGTCTGAAGGGATTAAGGCTCACAGATAGCGTGAGCTCCCCTGTGTAGGAAAGGGAGCTGGCGGATGAAGCCCAGGGTCCCAGCAGAGCCCGGGCTTAGCGCTGGGCCCAGGGAGAAGCAACGTGGCGCCTGCTCCGCCCCCGCCGGCCTGGTAGGCCCGTTCCAACTGCTGGCCACAGTTCTTCCTGTGGAACCCCAAGTAGACCTAAGCTCTGAGGAGAGGGGAAATGAGCAGAACTAGTTGCCATCTCAAGGAGACAGAGTCCAGGCCAGGGGGGTGCCCTCAGACCCCTCCGACACACCTGGTATCTGCTCCAGATATCTACACATCTCCAGATCCAAGGGACCTGCAATCGCTTAGGCAAAGCCAAGGTCTATTTGGAATCCTGGGCCATCGGCAGCAAGGGACATTGACCTCCCCCACGCCTCCTGGGGATACACAGATGGCTTAATCTCTCGAGGTTGCGTAGCCCCCTGACTCTTATCCTGGCAGTCTTTCCCCCGATCCGACAAGGCTGGTCCCCTGTCCCCCACCCTGTAAGAGCTGCTTTCAGCACCCAGGGCAGGACTGCCTGTATGCCCCAAAGTGGACATACATCAGAAGTAACAGGGCACGAGAGACTTATTCAACCCATGAGAGAATGTACCCCCTGCCCCTCACTAACTGACCCACGACTCGTTCCTCAGTTAAAGGTTTCTGGGTTCGGTGCAGTGAGCTATTCATTGGGCTGCTAACCACAAGGTCAGCAGTTTGAAACCACCAGGTGCTCCTCAGGAGAAAGCCAAGGCTTTCTACTCCAGCAAAGAATTACGGTCTCGGAAACCCACAGGGGCAGCTCTCCCCTGTCTGATAGATTCACGATGAGTCGCGTGGACTGGCTGGCAGGAACAGGTAGCACCGTCTTCCCTCCCCATGCCACTCCCAGGCCCGTCTGCCTTCGTATCAGCGCCTGAGTCAGCTCCCTCCGTGCCACCTGGCCTGCCCAGCAACACCCTGGAAATGTGCCCACGGAAATGAGGTGAGCCTGCGTCTCCCTTCTCCACATCCAGGGTACCTGTAATCTCTTAGTCCCTGGCTTCAGGGGCCACTTCTTCCTTGACATTTTTTCTCTCTCTCCTCTGTCCATTTTCCCCACATGTCTGGATTTGACCACTGCCTTTCCAACTACGGGGGCTGTCTCCTCCGTAAACAGTTTCTGCCTCGGACGCACACAGATTGGACTTCTTCCTCCCCACCTGCCACCCCTCCCCAGGATCCAGGACTTTGCTTTCAACTGCCCATGGGACCTACTCCTGGCGAGCCACTACCTCCCATTCAACCTGCCCCTAGTGGGCTTTATGCCCCTGCCTGCTCCTCCTGCACCCTCTACCCTGGAGGTGGCACACTGTCTCCCCAGCCCCCAATGCTGCCAGAAAAGAGACCCCAGGGCTGGTTTCAAGCCACCGCACTGCGTCAGACACTTACTTCCTCAGCACCGAGGAGCAGCAATGTCCTGCGCAACTATTTCCCCGCGACTGACCCAGGCAGGGCCACGAGAGCCGTATTTCTGTCCCCTCGGGAAGAACCCCGGGTAGGTCTGCTCACCACAGGCGCAGCAGTTAGGACCCACCCACCCCTCTGTGGGATCAGGACGGAGCCCTGCAGTCACGGTCAGCCTCGGAGACCCACGGGGGCAGGGCCAGGAGTTGGAATGGACGCAAGGCAGTGAGCTTGGTTTGGTTTGAGGAGGAGCCATTGGGGATGGGACTCAAAACACAAAGGACTTCTTCAGCCGGAAAGGCTCTTGGTGGCAGCTTCCTGGAGCTGGGGAGGAAGAGAAGCCTGGGTCTTAGTGGAGAAAAGGGTGTATGTGGTGGGGGCAGGGGGCCTGCTGACCCCCCAGCACAGAGAGGGAGTCACCCAGGCGTGGAAACTGGGCCCCACTTAGGTGGGACCCTGCTGAGCAGGGAGGGGGGAGGGGGGTTAACTGCAAGAACTCTGGAGCTGAGAGAGGGGGCTTCAGCCTCCTTATCTCTGCTCTCAGAACAAAGTGGGGAGGGGCACCTTTCTGCCATTGTGTGGAGGGGAGATTGGATTAGGAAAGAAACAGCCTGAGGTCAGGGGTGGGTGGGTGAGGGAGGGTTCCCCAACTGTCTAGTAGAGGACAAAGGCTCTATTGCAGGCTTCCCAGCTGGATTCTCCCTGGGGCTCAGCCTCCTATCTTGAAAGACTGTCTCCTGACCTTTCCTCTCTGACCCTCCCAGTACTTCCTGGAAACTTTGCAATTCTCAGTAGCCAGGATCTGCAGGCCTGCTGGGAAAGGAAGCTCTTTTCCAAATATTTCCAAGCCTGTGGAAGGAGCCCTGATGGTGGGATGGGTTACACCTTGGGCTGCTACCCCCAAGACGGCAGTTCAAACCCACCAGCTGCTCCAGGGGAGCTAGATGAGGCCTTTTGCTCCTGTAAAGAGTTACAGGCTCAGAGACCCAAGGGAGCAGGCGTGCCTTGTGCTGCAAGGTAATTACTTGGCATTATCGCCACAGCAGTGGGAGGGCCTGTGGGGGGTAGCCCTGGTGACAAGCACTGGATGCTAACTGCAAGGTCAGAGGTTGCAACCCACCGATGGGTAAGCACCCAACTGCTCCCCGGAAGGAAGGCAATTCCAACTCGCCAGCAGCCCTTCCCCGTCCCCACCCCCTGGGAGAAAGGGTTGGCCGAGGTTCCCTTTAGGGTGACAGCCTTGGGAACCCTGTGGCACAGCTCTGCTGCGGGAGTGGGTGGGACAGACCCACAGCCACACAACAGCCCCTGGCTGGGCCTGAATGGCCCAAAGGCTGGCATCTGAAGCCACCCGGAGGCACCTGGGCAGACATGCCTGGCACTCTGCTTCCTAGCAGCGTCACTCAGCACATGGACTCCCTGCAAGCGGGAAGTGACCGCCAGCCACTAAAACGACCATGTGGCGGGCTCGGCTCTGTCTGAAGGAAGGAGAGCATGGGGCCTCCTTACGAGGGCGGCTCAGGCTGGCCAGTCTGCAGGAAGCTGCCTTCAGGGAGCAGGACTGGGAAACACCTCGCCCTCTGTTCCAGCCCACCCCACCCCTGTCTGGCAGGGGTTTGTTTGGGGTGGAAGACTGCAGGGAGGCCCCAGGGGAGCCAGTGCTCCACTCCCTCCGAATGAGCCACTCCTGTTGTCCTTGCCCTTGGCCTTGAGCCTGCCTTGTTGATCCTCTTCCCAGGTCACCTGTGGCCTCAGGTATGGCACTGCTGCCTTCTGCCGGAAGTCCCCTGGGTGCAGGGCTGGCCTGGGGCTGGGACTGCAGGACGGACAGCACGGTCACCTCTTCTCCACAAGGCCTGCTGGCCTGGGCGCTGCCCACCCTGGGGAGCAGCTTCGACTCTGTGAACTGCTGAAAACCTGCAGGGCTGGAGGGGAACCTGGAGCCTGAGGACTGTTGGCAGGGGAGCCACGGCTTCCAGAAAGGCAGACAGTCTACTAGGTTGAGATAGAAGGGGTCCCAGAAGAGGGTACAGAGGGTGCCCCAGCAGCTGCTCTCCCCCAGTCCCCTCCAAGGAGAGCTTGTGGCCTTCTGTGGAGCTCACTCACTGCCGTGGGGTCGGCACTGACTCAGCACCTCCTGGTGGGTGTCTTCCTCCAACTGCCAACCGTGGGATCGCAGCCCCATGCTTAACCGCTGCACCACGGCTTTGGAACGGCCAACTTGTCCTATCGCTTTTCTGCAACATCCCAGCAAGCGGCTCTTCACCGTTCTGGGTCCTCGGCCCCTAGGCAAAGGCAGTGGAACCCTTGCGGCTCAAAGGTCCCGTGTCTTTGCAAAGTGCCTGCAGCTTCGTGACTTCCCAGCTGTCCGTCCAGGGATGCCTTAGGCTGGCCTGCCTCCAACCTTCACTGGGCCGCAGACTGCATGTCTCAGAGGGGAGGAGTGGCCAGGTCTGCACGCAGACTGAAAGAAGGTGGGCTTTACCCCCCTGCCCTGGCAGAGAGAGCTGCTGGAAGGAAGGCCAGCTTTGAATGTAGCATTCGCCAGCTTCTGGCTCCCTCGCTTACAGCCTGCCCTCTTTGATTTTTCCTCCCCTGCCCCTCTCCCCATTCCCCCCTTCCTCACTGGAAGGGGCCTGTCTGCACACACGTGGACACCCCAGTTGACAAGT